GGAATAAAATAGTTATAATCAAGCATATCATGAACTAGTGTAATATGACTGTGAATACTTCTCCCTTTGATAAAAGCCGATTGTGCTTCACTGATAATTTCACCAATACCCTTTTTTAGTCTATTCGCAAAAACATGAGAGAGCAATTTGAAATCATTAGATAAAAGAGTTATTGGTCTCCAATTGTCTAAAAATAATTTATCTTTGTTTGACTTTGGAACTAGAAAAATCAAACCATGCATCATTGATGGTGATAATTCAACTTTATCTATACATTCTTTTAATGAAAACTAAGATTCTTATTTCGGGCCAAACATGTATATATAGTTCTACTGTAATGCCGTCAGTACCTGGAGAGTTTCCATTATACATTTGCTAAATAGCAGTGTCTAATTCTGAAATCTCAATGTCAGCTTCCATCATATTTCTAAAATCAGAGTCTATAATAGGAATTTTGTCTTTTAAAAAGGAAAGAGATCACAATCGTTTTCTGTCAATTTAGATTTATATAAATCATTATAGAAGGAATATATGTAGTCATCAATTAGTGTTTTTTCTTCACTTATACAATTATTAATGCTAAGTTTATTAATAGTTTTTAGAGCTTGTTTTTGTTTTTTTAAATTAAAGAAATTTGAAGAATTTTTTCCCCCTGCCAATCCACCTGGCTCTAGATCGTATAAATGCTCCTTTAACCTTTTCTGTATAAAAATCATCCAACTCTGATTGAATAATGTGAAGTTCTTTTTCCTCACTCTCACTAAGGATGTCTTTATTACCGAAATAATTTAGTCTTGATAAAATTGTTGTCTGCCTACATTTTCTAGCATTTGCAACTAGTTTTTTTTTAACAGTAAATTTGACCCATTCCCATTTGCCAATTGAGGTTAATTCAGACATGGTTTTAACATTGTTAATCATTAACAAAATAGAACTACAAAAATATTCACATTTTAGTAAATTATTATTAAACGTCCAGTGAGTTCTGGTAGACGCTGAGCTGCCATTACTCCTAAGAGAAAGTGATATGGCACTGTGATCAGTTAAAACTGAAGGAGAAATATTAGTCAAATGTAGAAGAAAGAAGATTACTAGTTATCAACCAAAAATCCAACCTGGAACGCTGAATGTGCCCTGAAAAGAACCCCCATGTAAATAGTTTTTTTATGTGGGTTCTTTACACACCAAACATCAGTTAGATCAAGAAACTGAGATATATTATAAACCAGGGGGTTATAGGAAAAAGTGGTGAAATGAGTGGGATATCTATCCTGCCATTCATCTGGAACAGCGTTAAAATCCCCTCCAATAATAATTTTATCTGTAAAATGTGTTCTTCCAGTCATCAATTTTTGTAGCCATATTCTGAAAACAGCAGCTACTTATTAGTGGCCTTGTTAGTGTAGCTGTTGTTTCTTAAGCACTAATTTTCATATATCACCATAAAAAGTAGCAAAATAAAACGCATAACCATGTTTGTGTTTTGCTGAATGTCTGGCAATCATTACTGGTAATATTCATTTTTCAATTAATTGTTCATTCCTGCCATCTGTAAGGAAATCTTCATATACTATTGTTTTAAGAGAAACATACATTATGGTGTGTGTACCAGTGTGCAATGTTGTTTTACTAGAGTTATATAGAGTTTCTTCTCACCTAAAGTGCAAAGGTAATCAAACCAAGCCGTTTTCCATGCCTTTACTGATAGCTCCTCTAAGTATTGAGATCTATTAATGTTGGACACAGTGCTGAGAATTAATTGGATGCAGCACAGCAAGAAATTTGGAACTGAACAGACATTTGACACTCCCAGAGTGTGTGAATAACTTTGGAAAGTGTGTAAAAGTGTGTGAAAAATAATTTGGTGAATAACTTTCCTTCTTTTGTTTTTCCTTCTGTTCTTTACAGTCACTGGGAGAGCGCTGGGCAGCAGTGTGTCGCTGGACGGAGGAACGCTGGAATAAACTTGAGGAATTTCAGCTGGTGTGGCAGCGGTTGCTTGATGACCAGGTGAGGCCTGATACCAAAAATCCAACATTCCAGTGTAACAAATCACAAAATTGATGAGGCCCCTTTATACATGTTTTCAAATAATTGCAAATATTAAAAAACATTTTCAACTTTAGTTAGTCTGTAATGTTGCTGTTTGAGCATAAAAAAGATCTGCAAAGTTACAAAGCTCAAAGCCCACTTCAAAAGGAGATATTTTATTTAACAGAAATCACTTTTCAAAAACTACAATTAACGACTCGTTTGAACTACAATGCATATTTTCTGGGATTTGTGATATCACAAATATCGACGAATGGGGCGAGACCTGGTTGAGCTGCACTAGAGAAGGCAACAAGTGTTATCACTATCAGAGACACGCTAGCTTTCCCAAGGCAGACAAACTTAGAGTGGTTCCAATCATCCAGGTTTAAATCGCGCTCAAATTGATTTGATTTTGACGTAATATTTACACTAAAGCTCGCAGGCGGCTATGGTAAGGGGCATGACATTTCCCAACCAGGCGCCAAGTGGTGCCAATCACAACACACACTAGCCCAGCTAACCAATCACAGCACATTTCGTATTTCAGAAGGCAGGCCTTCGTTTGAATCAGGAACTATTCGAGCCGTTCATGCCAGACTGGGGAGAGAGGTGTTGTAATAATGTAAAATATGTGAAAAATAATGTGTTTTTCGAACAACCTAATATGAGAGCCTGTTCTAGTACACCCCTAAAACAAAATCAAGACTTTGTAAAAGAGCATAATAGGACCCCTTTAAGTTTGTAAATTTAAAAAAAATGCTTTCATGATCAATTTCTGTAGTGTTTGAGTACTTAAATATGTTTGTTTTTGCCCATCCATACAATAATTTCAGTCCAGCACAAACCTGAAGTTACTAAAGCTTCTGGCCAAAAAATAATCAGAGGTGTGCCTCAGGGCTCTGTGTTGGGCCCCATTGTATTGTGCTCTTATCTTGGACTTGGAATGTTCATTGAATGCATTTAAGGGTCAGATTGCTATTTTAACAGTTTAGGCTGCATTCTGGGAAAGGGTGAGATTCAATTATGGCGGTTTATGACTTGCAGACACCATTACCATTGACCCATTACATCATTAGTGTAGAGTGCACAGCACACAATCTTATTTTCACACTTCCCCCGTCTGGACCACTTCCGTCAGTCTGCAAACCGAACTGTGATGTAAAGCAGAAGATATTGTCTATGATATTACATTCAATTAATGCTTTTTATGCCAAAGTACTGTGTAAGGGAGGGTAGTATGGTTATTTTCTCTTTTTATTTGGAGCAATATATGAATGATGAAGCATTTTTCTATTGGAGAATCAACTTTCTTCTCATCCATTCAGAGTTTATTTGGATCATGGCTAGCAGATAAGGAGAAGGCCTTGAGTGAAGTTCAGACGAGTGATTTTAAAGACCCTAGTGAAATAAATGCCAGCGTCCGCAGATTAGCCGTGAGTAGACAAACATACATAATTTCATATTTGGAATTTGATATTACTTGCCCATAGTTTTGGTTATACGTTTAAATAACATAATTTTAAGATTGTAAACTTAGGTTTTACAAATAACAACTGAAATCTACCAGGTTGATAAGAGCATTGCTGTTTTGTCCTCTGACTCTTTGCAGAGTCTTAAGGAGGATATGGCCCAGAAGCGGAGGGCCCTGAGTGCTCTGTCAGATGCTGGACAGGATGTGATGGTGCTGTTAAACAGTCCAGCTGCAGCTCAGAGGATCGAAGCAGACACAGACCTACTGACCCAACGCTGGGACAACCTGGTCCAAAAACTAGAGGACTGCTCCAGCCAAGTCAGATAAATGCATCTCACGTGTTTATGTTAATGCACATTAGCTTTTTATATGACCTTGATTCCAAGCTTTTGTTCGGTTTCCAGGTAACCGAAGCGGTGTCCGTGACTGGGATGCCCCAGGTACAGGAGAAGGTTTTCATGGAGACAGTCACAACAGTAACAACATGGATGGAGCAAACCTTCACCAGCAGTGACCGAGAGCTACCGCCACCTGCCCCACCAAAAAGACGACATCTTGATATCGACGGCGAGCTCAGGAGACTGTACGAAAAACACACCTCTTCCTTGTAAAAAAAACACCAAAATCTCTTTTATCAGTCCCTCCAGGATTTTGAGATTGTCAAAATCAGTCAAACTTTGTATTTTTTACTTGCATTTTTGTTTTATTTTTGCAATTAAAAAAAAAAAAGTTAACTTGAGAGGGGTAAAGCAATATTAGCTAAAATCCATAATTCCAAATCCAAGCAAGTTATTTAATACATGTTCAAATGTTCTGCAACTTTATTGCAGTGAATTCCATTGTAACCATATGAAAGTGTTTAAATGGAAAGAAAAGTTGCCGTATCAGGCAGTCCCGTTTGAGCAATGGATATATATATATATGTATATGTTACTGAATATAATGTATATTAGTCCTCATAATGAGTGATTTCACCAGTAACTATCATGAAATTGTTGCTTTCATCATGCGGTTTTGACTGTTCATAATGAGCCCATTTGGGAACCATTAGCATAAGCTATACAGTGTTTACAAACTTAACACACTGCTCTGTTGTTCTGCTCAGCTGTAGCACTCCCTCATGTGAACCCGGTGTGATGTTTATATGTTTTTTAGAGCTGAAACTGATGTTCCCAAGCTTTTGTCTCAGCTGGCTGCATGGAAGTCATCTGCCCGAGCTGCTGAAGACCCCCCTGTCCTGAAGGAAAAACTACAGGTGATTTATTATAACAATAACATTTACCTGTTCATATATTTGGTCTACTGAATATATTTTGTCCCATACCTGTAGACCCTGGGTATGGAGCTTGCTGAAAACGAGGGGGCAGTGAAAGAGTTGGTGCAGAAAGGAGAGAAGATTATTGAACACCTGGAGAAAGGTAGGGGATTGTGAGTGATTTTCTCGATAAATGATGGTTCCTGTTTTCTCCTACTGATTAAAATCACTCTGTCTATACAGCAGGTCTGTCTTCAGAGGAGGCCCGTTCTGGCCTGGACTCTGTGCATAAAGAATGGGAGAGCTGCCAGAACCTGATCCAGGATCTGAGGAATCGAGCTCAAGTTCTAGAGCGAGTGGCAGCGGTTCAATCAGGACTGAAGGCTGTAAATGAATTCCTGCAGGATCAGGAGAAGTGGTTGATCTCCACAAAAGGGTTTAGAGCCAAGGACAACCAACAGGAACTCCAGGCACTCAAAGATGACTGTGAGGTCAGTCAAATACCAGGCAATTTTTATGCAAGACACTTTACTCAGATCAGATGTTAAAGGGAATCTAGCAGTATACTCTTAAAAAAATAAAGGTTCTTTATTGGCATTGATGGTTCCATGAAGAACCGTCAACATCTATAGAACCTTTCTATTGCACAAAACGGTGAAACAAAGTTCTTCAGATGATTTTATTATCAGGTAAAAAACAAAACAAAGAATCTTTATTTTTAAGATTGCAGCAACAAGTTAAAACCCACTCTGAATGCCTTATGGGATTTTGCAGTGTAACATAGAGTTGTTAACAGAGCAAATCTGTACTGTATGTGCTGTACTATGTTTCAGGCTCGAATAGCAGAGCTGGAAAAGCTTCAGCCGCAGGTGGAAGATCTCTGTTCTCAGACGGAGCGTCTGGCCGCAGAACCTGGTGCCCCTGATACCATGAGGCCCAGTGTGACAGCGCTGGCATCACGCCACAGCACAACTATTCAAGAGCTCAAGACGCGGCAGCAGGACATCACTATAGGTATACATTTCCAAATTGCAGCCTTTACACTACGCTCTCATAACATTTAAAGAATGTCGCTCCATCCTGCAATTTGAGGGAACTTGGGATTTTGAAAACCTGTAGTTGAGCTTTTCTATCTAAGCTATAAATATAGAGAAATTAAATCACTTCTGGAAAAAAAGAACAACACGGTCTTAAAGGATTGCATTTAAAGGGAATATTTCAGCCAACAATGTCATCGTTTATTCACCCTCATGTCATGTCAACGCATGTTCATTCTGTCAAACACAAAATAAATTTTGAAGAATGTCCAACCTACTCTTTCCGTTCTGTCAAGCTCCAAAAATGACACAAAAGTACCATAGAAGTTTATGTGAGCTGTCCATTAGGCAGCACACTAACCAAAATGCTACCTCAAGTTTCAAACTCTCGACATAGGTAATCCCGCCACAGCTAGCGCAGGAGACGCAACTCACAATTGATTTCAGTAGAGCAGTTAGCATGTTGTTAAGCTAACAATGTGAAACCAAACTCATGGTAAAGTAAAGTGTCCATTAGATGCTCATTTGAGAACCTCACCAAAAGTTGTAGATCATCCAGAGCCCTCATTTCTAATATTAGTACATGGTGCTAACAATGCCAAGTTTTTATTCTCTGAAAAAATTTCCTTTAATTTTGAAGTCAATTTGGATAAAAACGTCTGTTTTTGTGTTGCGATTGCAACTACCTTAAATGCTGCCTAAGTAGGCAGTTCACTCGTTTTTGGAGCAGATCTACAGAAAGATTGAGGCTCACTGAGATTTTTATAAGTCCCGGGGCTTGAATTGGTGCCAAGGGGTGCAGTGCCTCTGTTTCTCTGTCTCCGTTTCTCTTGTTCTCTTCAGTTTTATTTAAAGACCGAAATAGTGACTTATGCAACAGGTAAATCATTTGTGGAGCCAACAAGAGCAGAGCCAGAGTGAGAGAGAGCAGTCTATTTATGGCTGTAATGTCAGTGTGGCCCATGAGAAAGCTTTTACACACTGATAAACCTCTGAGTGTGTATGTTTGCTAGAAAGAGCTCTAAGTAAGAGTACATCAGTGTTTAACCTTAAAGCTTGAGCAAATCTCTCTCACACCCACTTTTAGCCAGCCATGGAAATGAGGGCATACCATAGACTTCTATTGTTTTACATACAGCTAATTATGACTATAGACTGACCCCATTCTGAAAACCTTTCAGAAATAAATTTGATTAAACCAGAATGAAAATGGCAACAATAACAAAATGTTTTTCTTAAAAATAGTTTTTCCTAATTGAGAACATTCCCAGATCTCCCAAATTGATGTTTTTTTTCAAATTTAGCGAACTTCTGGGACTATTTTGTGCTCAAAGTGTAGTTAAATAAACACACAAACATGTTTGCTTAGCTGATTAACATACCATAGACTACTGATGTATTTCTATAAAGCTAATTGTTGCTTTATATAAATAAAGCCTACAATTAGCTAAAACAGCTACAAATAGCTTTATAATAGCTTTATAAAATTTATAATAGCTTTATTATAAAGCTACAAGCTAAAACAGTACCTTTAACAACACTCACACTATTTTTGCTACTGTTGAGAGACTGACAACCCCCCCCCCCCCCCCCCAGATTCCCAGTGAAATGCTCTCTGACAGCAAATGCAATGAGTTTGCTTGCTTCCTTTTCTGAGAAGATCAATAATTTCAGAAAGGAGATTAGCACATCCTCAAGTTATGCAGAGGTCAGACAGATTCGATTTACTGAACGAGCACTGTGCTACGCCAGAACTGATCGCACTGTATTTTATGTATAATCATTTTCTATTCTTAACTGCTTTAAATTCATTTTAAATCAAATTTTAAATCATTTTAAAAGTGTTGAAGTTCCTTGTTTTATTGTTGTGATTATTTTTTATGATTATTTTACTTCCTTTTATGTAAAGCGCTTTGAATTACCATTGTGTATGAAATGTGCTATATAAATAAACTTGCCCTGCCCTGCCTAATTATAATGACTAGCACAAACCCTTATCCCTTAAAGAAAACATCCATTATTATTACTTTATTTATTAATTATTTTTGCCTTCAGGGATGTCCTCAAAAGGAGTTTTTGTCTCATTCATTTTGGGCAATTTTTCAGCAGTTTTGTCCCCAAGGTATGGCTGCATTAAATATAAACAGTTGTATGTTCGTGGGACAATCGGAAAGCTAATGTTCCATGATTTGACCTGTTGACCTCTAACATCTGGGATTCAAGCTAAGCAAACGCACACCCACACACAATGACAAACACAAAAGAGCCACAGGCAGTTATTTTTAGTCTCCTCTCTGATATTCAACAAATAAACATCTTGGAAGGAGCCGGTTCACATACATTATTAATCACAAATGTCAAAATCCAACAGAGATTATTTTAGTGATGTACTACAGAAGAGGAAGCAAGCATCCAGATGTACAGTAAATACCACATGTGTCAAGGGGCTGTTGTTGTTTGGGTAGTTATGTCAAGCATTGTGACATGCGGTACTCCTTATAGCAATACTATATATATATATATATATACACACACACACACTCAGAGGTTATTTTTCTTATATCATATCATAGCTCTATAGCATATCATGCCATAGGTTGTATATCATATATTCCAATAATGGGCCTGTATCATACCATATTATGCCATTTATCATATATATAATATACTCATTCATATCATATCATGTATTGTATTGTGTCATATAGTATCATAACATACAGTGGGTACGTGTATTCTCAGTGGGAATACTTAGGACCATGTGATATTTCAGTTTTTCTTTTTTAATAAATCTGCAAAAATGTCAACAATTCTGTGTTTTTCTGTCAATATGGGGTGCTGTGTGTACATTAATGAGGAAAAAAAATTAACTTAAATGATTTTAGCAAATGGCTGCAATATAACAAAGAGTGAAAAATTGAAGGGGGTATGAATACTTTCCATACCCACTGTATATGTGTAATTTGGGATATACTATTGGGTATGACATTTTCATTCATATCATATAATATAGTATATAGTATTTGATACATGCCATTTGGCTTATATATCATAGCATATATCTTAAAATGCAGTTTTATGGACATATTATTTGACACAGAAAGACTGAATATTTGTTTTAAAAATGCAAAACGGCTAAAATGTGGTGAAAAGAATGAATAGTGACCAGTAACAGCATCAAAACTTATACTTTCTCTTAAGAATTTTTTGTAAATCAATATGAGTTGGATTTGTGTGTAATTTGTCGTTGTGTGTCTGTAGTTTTGTCCAGGCTGGCGGGGTCCAGAGCGCTGCAACAGATGGAGTCCAGACTGAACACGGCCAGCGCTGATATCAGAGACATCACCACAGCTGAACAGGGAGTCGTTAAAGCTCAGGTGTGTGTGTGTGTGTGTGTGTGTGAGAAAGGGATGCTTGTATGCAGGGTCTACAAGTCCGTTTTAGTCACACCTGCCAGTGGCGAGTGAGACTATTTACCTGAAATGAAAGTCGTTGAATACGTGTGATTGGCCGCAGATAATTTCTTTAGTAGACGATTTATACTGTATGTCTTTGAAGTCACTCTCGCCTTTTACAATAAATCAATGAGGGTTAAAGCCTGTTCATATCAAGGACAATAACTTTAATGTTAATTACAAAAATACAATATTCTAAAGGTGTGGTGAGATTAGTGAGATTTCACAGGCGGTGACGGTCTATTGTGTTGGTCTAGCATTGTGCCATATGTTGATTCTCTGTTTGAATCTCTGCTTGATCCGTGTGTTCAGTCTCTTAGCTGACGTTAGCGTTTGGTTTTTGGATGCGTTTCTTTCTTTAACTCCATGAATGATGGGAAGAACGCCAACAACTAAGTGAGCAAATGCTGGCTGGCATTTGTTTAAAGTTCTATAAATATTTATACTCTGCTGTGTTGGTCTCTGGCCTGAGCCGGGCGATGCCCACGTGGCACAGAAGAGCTTCTGATGGCCGTCTGCACAGCTCTCACCAGCCCACACAAACAGACAGAATATGACCCTACATCCAGCTGTGTAGTGTCTGTCATGCACAAGAGCTGATTATGGACTGTGAGAAGCAGAAACTCCTATTTTAGCCATGACTTGTTTCTGTGGGAGTGGAAGTGGTCTTTGGAGGGGTTTTAGGTGATTGTGGGTTGAGCTGTGTCTCCATCTGTGGATGTGAATGAAGAACTGCACTCTGATGATCTTGTTACAGTGCTCTAAAGATGATCACATGCATGTGAGTGAACAACAAGTAAGGATTTCCAAGATGGGTTTTCCATGGAAAAATGTGTGCATGCTATTTTTGTAGAAATGAACATTTTCAGCAGTAGTTCAAGAATGTGCACAGTAAGCATTAAAGTAAAAACACACTTTGAATACATATGTTTACATATCAAACATAAGTTTTCAA